TAAATCGATTTTCAACCGGCTCGCGGTTAATCGTTACATTCCTAGTCTCAATGCAAACTCCAAACATTGGTTGGGCTGGTCGGGATTGCCAAAGCAACTTCACCTTAAAGGGATTGTTCACCCAAAAATGAATTACTCATGACGCATGCACTTGCTTTTCCTGCATGTAAACAACGCATGCGTGTGGTGCTGATGACGTAGAAAAACACGCACTGTGCCTTGTTTACATTCAGAGGAGAGCATGCGCATGCATCGTAATGCAGAGGAGAAGAATTGTTGAATAAAGTTGTTTTTGTTTTCTTTGCGCACAAAAAGTATTCTCTATTCTCGTTTCATAAAATTAAGGCTGAACCACTGATATCACATGGACTATTTTAATGATGTCCTTATTAACTTTCTGGGCCTTTACGTTACTGTATATGGAGGGTCAGAAAGCTCTCGGATTTCATCAAAAATATCTTAATTTGTGTTCTAAAGATGAACGAAGGTCTTACAGTTTTGGAACAACATGAGGGTGAGTAATTAATGACAGAATTTTCAATTTTGGGTGAACTATCCCTATAAAACAAATCTTTCCTTTGGGAATGTTGAGAGTAATTTATAAAATAATGTGTTCCTCTAAGCCAGGGGTGTCCAAACCTGTTCCTGGAGGGACAGTGTCCTGGATATTTTAGCTCCAACCAGCTCCAACACACTTGCCTGGAAGTTTCTAGTGAGACTGAAGACGTTGTTCAGGTGTGTTTAATTAGGGTTGGACCTAAACTCTGCAGGACAGTCGTCTTTGAGGAAAAGGTTCGGACACCCCTGCTCCAAGCCTATGCTAGTAATAATGACAATAGTGTGTTTTAGAGTAGTCTCAGCCTCAGGCGTCACGCCCACGGACCGTTGGCTAAACGTCTGATGCATATGGGACACAAAGGTGGAAACACTTCAGGAGTTTTGAAGTCGTCATCGGATTGGTTGAATTCTACAGGATTTCTGGGAGACGTGTGTCGCGTTCTTTAACGTTCTGCCTGGAAACAAAGATGCCGTGACGCCAAACCCCCTCACGAAAGAAGAAAGCCGTCGTGTTTACAACTGTGATGACGAGCGCTTATCAGGATCAACTAAACGCTGGAGTTTCAAAAGTATGTGAAATATTTAAACTTACAGAATCTTTAAAATACGTCCGAGAGTTTTACACACTGTTATTGTTGCGACATTTCCACTCCCCGAAACGTGACAATGAACGAAACGAACTGTGATTGGTTGTTTGACATGTCGGTAAAAAAGCCTCATGGGCGGGCCTTGGCCAATGAAAGCTGCCATGGATTCCAGACCTTCAGCCGTCAGTCTAGCTACGCGAGACTAGTTTTAGAGTGACTTCTGACCTTCTGACAGATCTCCATGTGCTTCTTAAGTCCATGGACGGTCTTGCGAGTGACGACAGAGCAGGTGGGACAGACCACTTCCCCTCTCTCAGAGATGGTGTTCTGCCACTGGGCTTCAGCAGGGGGAACTGAGACAAACAGATAAAACATGGTTAATCAAGATTACATTACCATTTGAAAGTTTGGGGTCAGTAAGATTTTTTTTTTTTTTTGAAAGAAGTCTCTTTTGCTTACTAAGACTGCGTTCATTTTATAAAAAATACAATAAAAATCAAAATTAAAAAATACAATAAAAAAATAAAATAAAATACAATAATTATTTTGAAATATTATTACAATTTAAAAGAGCTGTTTTCACTTTTAATATATTTTAAAATGCAATTTATTCCTGTGATGCAAATCAGATTTTTCAGCATCATTACTCCACTCTTCAGTGTCACATGATCCTATTATTATAAATGCTGAAAACAGTTTTTGCTTATTATTTTTGTGGAAACCATGATACATTTCTTTCAGGATTCTTTCATGAATAGAAAGTTAAAAAGAACAGCATATTTTGTAACATTATAACTGCTTTTACTGTCACTTTTGATCAATTTTCTGAATAAAAGTATGCTGACACTAATTACTTTAAATAAATAAGTAAATGACCCCAAATCTTTCAAACGGTAGAGTGTATTTCTATATTATTTCATTTTTATTAATTTAAATTATTTTATTTCATCTGTATTAAATTTATTTTTTATTTTTTTAAATTTATTTCATAATAGAACTATTTATTTGATTTGTGCTATTATTAGTACTATTTTGCTTTATTTGAGTTATTTCACACTGCTTTGGCAGTACAAATGTACTGGATGATTTTATCATGCAAACATGCAGAGAGAGAGCAGAGAGAGAGAGACCTGAGCTAATAACAGCAGCTTCTTTTCTGGTGGGAGCTTGAACCGACTGCTTCCTCTGGGACTCCTCAGTGAACAAAGCCCCTTCCGCCCTCTTCATCCGACCTGCTTTCAACTTCTCCTCCACCTTATTCATTCCTGTACAACACATAACAAATGACATTCAGGAAAAGCAGAGCCCTCACAAGTCACAGAAATAAAAGTATGACTAAAAAAGAACAAACAAAAGAGAAATGAAGAAATGAGACTCTCAAACTCTCTTGGCGGTCAAAGGGTCTTGTTGTGCAGTGTTTCTTAAACATGCACCATTGTAACTTCAACAGGAAATGAAACACTTCTAGAATAGACCTATAGACCCCATATTAGCACCAACAGGGGTAATTACTATCAAAGAGTATATGGTTGCTAATTATAAACATACAGGGGCAAAAATACCACTGAAATCTCAAGGTGAATTTATTGAATGGAGGCTAAGACTAAACTCTGAAAGTCACTTCTGATATAACTTTGACTACGTTTACATGGACATCAGTAATCAAATTATTCACCTTATTCTAAATAAGCCAATATTATGATTATGGTTTTTACTTGAGTTGCTTTTAGAATATTCCTTTCATGTTCCCGTTTTACATGTTATAGTACATAGTTCGATTAATGGCGCACGTCATTACGTCACCACGCGACGCCATCCGACGTCCCCTCCAGAATTTCACGTATAAACATATAGTTCGTCTTCGTGATGATGCCATGTACAGTTTTGGGTGTTTCATTTTTAATTTTATGAAAGCTTCAAGTGCAGTTAATTATTTGTACGTGCATACAGACGACGGAGGTGTTGAAGCTCTTTTATTTGCCATCAAATGGTTGAGCACTGCCGTGTGTGTATTCTGTCGCAAAATGCGGTGAAAAGTCTCGTACCGGCAGGGATTGTAGGTGGGGGGAGTGAATGTACAGCGCTCTCTCCCACCTTCAATACCACGACTGAGGTGCCCTTGAGCAAGCCACCGAACCGCCAACTCGAACTCGAACTCCCCGGGCGCCGCAGCAAAAAATGGCTGCCCACTGCTCCAGGTGTGTGTTCACGGTGTGTGTGTGTGTGTGTGTTCACTGCTGTGTGTGTGCACTTTGGATGGGATAAATGCAGAGCACTAATTCCGAGTATGGGTCACCACATGTCACTTCACTTTAACTTTCACTTTGATTATGACTTTAGCCGGATTAAGGTAATCAAAAATCTCTGTTTACATGGTAGATTCTTAATCATGTCTTAATAATGTCTTAATCGTATTAAAATCGGAGTATTGTTGTCCATGTAAACGTACTGACTGACAAGAAACACCACTGTGAGGTGGTGTCCAATGGTGTCCATTTTGCGACAGGATACACACACGGCAGTGCTCAACCGTTTGACGGCAAATAAAAGAGCTTCAACACCACCATCGTCTGAATGCACGTACAAATAATTAACTGCACTTAAAGGGTTAGTTCACCCAAAAATGAAAATTAGGCTGCATTTTACTCACCCCCGAGGCATCCTAGGTACAAATAATTAACTGCACTTGAAGCTTTCATAAAATTAAAAATGAAACACCCAAAACTGTACATGGCATCATCACGAAGACACTTTTTTTTGACAGTTAGTCAAAAAAAGGGTCATGGCAATCCAGTAGATCACTAAAGAGAGACTTCCTGTACTTTAGTTCCCTTAAAGGTGGGGTTAGTTATTTCTGGTAACCAATGTTGATATTTCAAATCACCAAAACAAACACGCCAGAAAACAGCTGCTGCGTTCTATTTATGACGCATTGACACAAATTTCAAATGATTTTCAACAGTCGCTTTATCGCGTTCAGTGTAGACAGACTGTAGCTGTTGCGGCGCGGCGGTGTAGACACGGTGTTACTCACCTATTTAGAAGAAACAAAGCAACCTCGGCGTCCGATCGCAGGCCTTCCGCTCCTTGAGTTCTCTCCAGCGCTGGAAAGCTGATCCGATATTTACACGGGTTCTACTTCTTGCCTTATCGTAAGCCTTCTTTTGTTCCACAGACGTTTTCCTCTTTTGTTTTTTATCTGCCATCTCTATCTTTCTGTCGCTCGGCTCGGCTAATGTCCGTCCTGTGCACTGAGCGCTCTCTCCTCCACATCATGAGTAGACACGCCCTTTACTGCTGATTGGCTACAAGTTTGTTTTGGTACTCGCCCTGACTCAGTTTTCTAAAGTGTTTTTGAAAAATACATACCCCACCTTTAATGAAAGAGTTTGGCTGCATACAGAATAAGAAATTAATGTATTAACTAATGTAACAAAAATTTACACTAAAAGTGACAAAAAATGAAGCAAAAATTGAATGTAATAAATTCTGCTGTCATTCAAAATGATGAAGGTTCCATTTGTTATCATTACTTAACTACAACTAAAGTTAACATGAACTAATAATGTAAAATACTTCTAAGGTGTTTATTAATCTTCATTAATGTTAATTTTAATGTTTACTATTACATTATTAAAAGCAAGTTGTATCTTTTATTATTAGTTAATGGACTTAAGCGAACATAATAATTAACAGTTATATTTTTATTACAATTAATAAACATTGTAACAAATGTATAGCTCATTGTTAATTATGCATTAACTAATGTTCACTAACAGAACCTTATTGTAAAGAGTTACTTGTACTTTATTCTAGATCTACAAGAGTTAAATATCAGATAAAATATAGGATTAGAACCTGAAACAACAATAACACTGAAGTCCATGGAGAACTTCTTCATTTTTGAGCAAGGAAAATGGACTGGTTCAATATCAAAACCCTTAAATATTGAGAAATTCTGAATATTTAGAATAGAATATGAATATGAAGCAAGGTCTAATTTAAACATTTATCATGACTGTACAGTCCCATTGGGCCTTTTGGCGCAGCTGCACTTCTGGGGCCAGTTGCATAAACTTAGCCTCTATGTTAAGACAGTATCTTAAGAACAAGTTTCACCAACTAGCAGTTAGCCAAAGGTTAATGATGAGCCTTATTTTTGAAGTCATCTTAGACTAAGCTACGCTTTTATGTAACTGAATTAAAAAAATATATGGGCCTTGCGGTGCAGCTCCACCTCTGGACTCACTGGGCTTTGCGGTGCAGCTCCACCTCAAGGTTCAGTGGTTTGCATTTCTGCGCTCTGTGTGTCCCAGCAGTATGTTTACTATTTAGTCATTTACTAATACTGTTAAATATTAAAATTTATAATATAAATTAAATATTTACAGATTTCCCTCTATTTGATGTTGATTGATTTGTTTGGTTTTTAACTGCCATACTACTTCACTGACTGATTCAGTTTTATACATATGGACAGCACACTGTGTTTAGTTTTATGGATACAAAAATGTGCCCTAATAAATCCAAAATCAAAATCAAATCCAGAGGGCAAATATTGGCCCTTAATAAAAAATGTAATTTACTGGCTAGAAGAACAGATGTGAGGATAGGAAGAGTGAGTTTACTAACTCACTGCAGGGACAAAAATGAAAACAGCTTCATAAAGGGACAAAATAATCCTTTTCACATATAAAATGTAAAACATAAAGGGTTAAAGTTCGTTTTTAGTAGCTTTAAGACTGCAGAATTCAGACTTTAAGAACAACAGAAGTCATGGGAGGTCTTCGCCATTATATAAAACGTGTATGAGTGTGTGTTTGTGGTACCTTTCAAACCGAATGTTCCTGAAATAGACGGCTGCTCCCCGGTGAACTTCTTTGGAGTTTTCTGCTTCCTCCCTGGCTCAAATGAGAAGAACAACAACAAGAGGTCAAACATCTCAATAACACAGCAAAGAGCTGCATTCATGGTTCATACATTCATGACAACATGCAGTGCTAAACAACACTCGTGAGCTTCTGCTGTAAGTTACAGTCTCATAATGATGCTCAAACTTCAGTGCACCAAAGCACCTGCTGTTTCACATGCTGTGGTTCCTCTGCTGGAGAAACTGACACAGCTTCATGAACCAGTCATGGGAGCAGAGAGCAGATATGTTTTCTGTATGTGTGTACGTGGTTGATTGTCAACTTGTGTCACACAAACACAGCTGACATTTCAGACATCGACACACACACACACACACACACACACACGCTGTCCTCGCCCCTGGCTCCGGCGTGGAACAACAAACGGAGGGATCGTGTACCCAAACAAAGGCCATAAATAGCGGACTCACAGCACGAGCCACGCCGACATCTCGCAGACACACTGCGTCTCTGCCAGGCACAGACAGAGACAGCAGCCGCCACCAGCTACCAGAGAGACTTAATGACCAGCAGCCCTCAGACGGAGCCAACACTGAGAACTTACACACTGCTGCTTAAAGGGCCAGGCCACCATTTCCTACAAAACTCAATGAGGGGCGTGCAAATGATTTTCAACGGTTGCTTTATCGCGTTCAGTGTAGACAGACTTTAGCTGATTTGTTTGTCATTTGTTTGTAATGCAAGATGCTGCCAATCACAAATCACCGTGCATGACAAAACAATTTCGACTTGTCAAATAATTAGTTTTCCTAGCCATTTTTAATTTTACCCAGCTGAAAAGTAAAATAAAAGTACTGGCAAGCAGAATTCACATGCAAATATCACAGAAAACTGAATGTTCAAATTGACAAGGCATAAAAATGCTCGTGCATGATGTAACTGCCTATGAAGTCTCTCACATTGGCCCCTGGCCAGCAGGCCAAAATTGTACTGTAGTGGTATCATGAATGATTAGCATTATAGTATTGCATATGGCAGGGCCGTCCTTAGGGGGGTGCAACTGGTGCGGTCGCACCGGAACCCACGCTTGAGGGGGCCCCGTGGCTAATGCGGGAATGCGATCAGCTAAGGACAGCCCTGGCATATGGCACTTCAAACAATATCACGGTATTACCATGGACAGGTGTTTCAGAAGCTGACGTGCGCAGCATTAATCTCAGTGTGTAGCATTCTTACTGTGCTTCATTCTCTCAGGGTCCTCCTCAGGGAAGGGTGGGGGTAGACTGTCCCCCTCGCTCTCACTGCCCCCAGTGTCTACGGATGTCCCCTGCTGCTGTTTCCTGTCCGGCCTTTGGGGGGCGCACTCCCCATTCTGTGAGGGCCGAGACACCTCCTGGGTCTTCTTCACCTTGGTAAATACGGGTGATGGAGGGCTGTTCTCCACGGGCCTGAGAGGGAGCGCAGGGAACACAGGCTATTAAAGTCAATCCACAAAGGACCGGTACTATAGTAACACAAGAGGACTTCATCTGGAATCTAATGATGGCGGTGTGGCAAACAAGTCATGTCCTGAAGCGATTTTTGTTGCGTGTGACTAAAGTCAGAAATTCAAAACGGCTCCAAAAATGCATCACGCTAAAAAATATTCCAATAAGTGGGAATACGGTCAGGAAAAGCATACTGAGCTTTCACACCTTTTTTTAGCATTTCGCTTCACGGGGCTTTTCTGTTGTTTAGGTTCGGACTTGTGATCGGATTTGGCGTCCAAGGTGACCCCGGACTTGGTCTCCATGGTGACCCTTTCTGGGTGGTTATATAAAATTGATATAGTATGTTATGGATTATGTTATGGATCAAAAGTCATTCTAAACCCCTAAGACCTTCATTCATCTTCAGAACAAATTAAGATATTGTCGATGAATTCTGAGAGCTTTCTGAGTCGTGGTACTCTCGTGAAAGCGCATCGAAGACTGACACAGAAGAGAAGAATTGTTGAATAAAATCATTATTTTTGTTTTCTTCACGCACAAAAAGTATTCGCGTAGCTTCATAACATTACAGTTGAGCCCATGATGTCACATGGACTATTTTAACGATGTCCTTACTACCTTTCTGGGCCTTGAACGTATCAGTTTACGGGCATCTGTGACTCAGCTTCTCTGCTATGGTCGCCTGAACGCCACACAAACAGACACACACAAAGACAGGTCAAGTTCCACAGGTCTCAGATCTAAGCAAAAAAAAAGATAGTGGGTCTTTACAAAGTTTCATTTGACTAATTGTTACAGCTGATGGCAACTTTACTTAAAGGCACAATATGTAAGTTTTCACCGCTAGAGGGCGCATTTTCAAAACAATAACAAAGGCGAAGCTTGATGACGCTATGAAGGAGAGTGGAACGATGGGAGATGTCGTTTTGACCATCCAGAGATGTCTGAATCATGTTCACGGATGAAATTAATTATTTTTTTATTTTTTATTTCATGACCTGTACCTTCCAAAGTTATTCAAACCGTGAATAAATTACATTTTCACCATTCAGAGATCGACCATTCAACGTTCACGGGTGAGGTAATGAATTCATTGTTTTATTACCTGTACCTTACACAGTTATTTAAACAGTGAATAAATTATACAGCGAAAGGGAGCAAAGAACATTTACATTGTCAAAGAACATTATGACGTGAGTTTGAGCACTCTCAAAAAACTCCCCTTATAATCAGTCAAGTTGTCTATATACTGTTTGATGAATGAATCTCTTACTTACATCATACATACATCTGCACTTTGTTGTTTATGATGAGAGAATTTGCGAGAGAGTAGAATTCAGTCAGCGAAGCGCGCACACTCAATAACAAAACTCCAGCGTTTCAGCGATGACTCATCTGAACGCTTCTGATTGGCCATTGCATTCATAAGCTCAACAGACTCGTGTGTGATTGGTTATAATGCGCAACACTGTAAAAACGCGGAAAAAGACTCATGATGCGACATTGAGCAGATCTACATTTGATGCTGCAGTCAACACTTTTCATTTCAGCCGTAATGGATTTACTTTAACTGTGCAGCGGCACACCAGGCACTCCCACACCAGGGAGGAACAGGGCCGAGCCATTTTTTAAAGGGGTCATATGATGCGATTTCAAGTTTTCCTTTCTCTTTGGAGTGTTACAAGCTCTTGGTGCATATTTTAATTTATGGGTGAACTAGCCCTTTAACACATTTGCTGATGTCAAGAAATTTCAAAACAATAACAGTTAGACCTCAAATTGCCTGGCAGACATGATCCTAAACCAAGCCTAATTTCACAGGGCTCCTTAAGACTTTGAGTTGAGTTCATGCAACCCACTATCTGATTTCAAATTAATGTAGTTTTATACATTCCTATCAATAAACGAGTGTTGGTTGCATTCATGATTTTGCAGCGCATGACTGTGTAGTCTGGATTTCAGTTTTTACCCCTTGGCATCGCTGATAGTGATATTTAAGTCCGTAAATACTGGGGAATTCCAACCAGCAGCCTGAGCATGGACATTTCACCCTGGAACGACTCTTAAACTCCTCTTTCCACTGAACCATCATATGGGCCTGGGGCGAGAAAAAACATCACACACGCACACAAGAGAGGCATTAGAAACTATTAGCAATCAATTCACTTCCACACAGCCCTCTGTGAGATGTTCCTTCTCCAAATACAACAGTTGGAAATAGTTTTGGAAAGTCCCTTTACTCCTTTCACAAATAATCACCCAAAATCCCAATCTGGCGTAGCCTCCTTCCTTCATCACTGGCCAAAATGGATATTTATTGCTTTACTCACGGGAATAATGCGCAGCTCCTGCACCTCCACGCGAGGGCGTCCTTTCTTCTTACCCTCTGATTTCTCATTATAGGAGGAACCTGATGAACATCTGTTGATGAAGCCATGTCAGTGAGACACTGTGTATTTCAGTGCGAAGTAGATGCAATTAGGAATCATTGGTTAAGATTTATTTACAACAGAACAGCACAACCCAGATTCTCATTATAGGAGGAACCTGATGAACATGAACATTTCATGACATATTGTACATAACTATTTTGAAAGATATTTTGCAGTGAAGCAATTATTATTTGCAGTTGACTTAATTACATTAACACTGCCCATCATTGAATTTTGAAACACTGCATTAACTACAACAGTCATCTAATGCAATTCCTATATACTGCACAGTGGCTCCAAAAAATATTTGGACACTTAAAATGTATGAATGTCTTGGGAGTTCATAACAAAAATGGAAAAGCAAGTGACATTCATGTGAAGGAAATATAGGTACTTATTTCAAAGGCAAAGCATTTCACAAAAATAATTGTTTGGACACATTGTGGCTGTCAAACATTACCATTAACATTAACATTATCACCACCCATAGGGTGTAATGGAAAGAAAAGTAAATTCAGAGATTTACATTTTGAAAATGATAAACCTGTTCTTTGGAATAACATGCACTGACGGATTAGTCCAGGAAAGTGAATTAGAAAGCAAATAGTGTCCATTTTGGCTTCATGGTGCCTTCTGTGGAATTCCAATCGTATTCTGCCCTCCTTAAAACACCTTGATTCTATCAAAGAAGAACCATTAACCTTACTTCAGATTAATGATTGGCTAAGAAACTCCCCTCAACACCTCACATCACTGCAGCTCTCCATATGTTCCAGACGTCCCCACGGGGACTTTAGTGAGGCTGAACGAACATTTAGAGACAGTCAATTGCAGATGCATTCTGCGTACAAATTAGTGGCATTGCTTATTTCATGCAAGTCCCAGGAGAATGGAAGATGATAGCATGCATTGGTTTTCTGGTTAGCGGAGGTCATGGAAGTTTGCTGCAAATCTATACGAACTGGCAAGGTCAAAACATTGAGCAAACGGCAGATAATTACACACTAATACTCCACTGAGGCCCGCTGGCTTATGGCTGCTAAGCAACTACATAATAAGGACACTTACAAAGTGGCTTCAGACAAATTGTCTGCAGTGTGTGTGTGTGTAAATGAGAGTGATAAAGGCCTTTCACAGACTAGAGTAAATGAACCATTAATCAGCATGCCTTTGACACAGTCACACAATATGTCACTGAAAAATGAACATTCTCTCATGTACTCAACCTCATGTCATTCCAAACACATATGCGGATATCCACAGCAACAAACGTCTTTTAAGCTTGTATACAATGACAGACTATGTTCATCAAACACCAAAAAACACTATCAAAATGCCAATAAAGTATATAGTCCATAATATGAGTAAAGACTCCATATTCCATTTGTTCTGAAGTCATACGATAGGCTTGTGTGAGGAATATACTGAGATTTGATAATCATCTTAAATCAAATATATTGCTGTTTTAATTGAATTAGTTACACCCCAATTTCTCTGGATTTACAAATCCTTAGGAAGTTTTGGAATAATGTAAATACACAACTGCATGAAATATATCGCACTGTGCAAGTGGTTTTTGGATATTTTATTACAAAAATCTTACATAGAGTAAATGAACCATTAATCAGCATGCCTTTGACACAGTCACACAATATGTCACTGAAAAATGAACATTCTCTCATGTACTCAACCTCATGTCATTCCAAACACATATGCGGATATCCACAGCAACAAACGTCTTTTAAGCTTGTATACAATGACAGACTATGTTCATCAAACACCAAAAAACACTATCAAAATGCCAATAAAGTATATAGTCCATAATATGAGTAAAGACTCCATATTCCATTTGTTCTGAAGTCATACGATAGGCTTGTGTGAGGAATATACTGAGATTTGATAATCATCTTAAATCAAATATATTGCTGTTTTAATTGAATTAGTTACACCCCACAAGATGTTGCACTGGAATTTAATTTGGAAAGACAGAAAGACAAATTTACTGAATTAAAACTCCCCCCAAAAAAATTAAAAAAATCAACAAAGTCATACACACACTTTACAAAACCCATCATTAATTTTAACTAATAATACATTTTTCTGCTGATGGATAGAACACATTTTTTTCATGAGACATTTCTCAAAACTAAGTTTAAAACTGTCAAAACAAATTTAAAATAATATTTCATAAAGTTTTCTGTAAACAATGTGGTTTACCACATGATGTACTATACATTATACCATATATTTTATACAGTGTATCGGGATGTGAAGTAACTAATTACAAATAGTCACGTTACTTAAGTAGTTTTACTCAGATATAGTACTATTTTAAAGTAATTTAAAATATTCGTCATACTTTCTGACAAACATGTGAATTACAGTATGTACAGTGTTTCTACATTTTTAAATTGCAATGTGCAGTGTGTATAATCGCAGCTCAGTAGTACTCTCTTCTTACTATTCATGAGTGCTTTAAATTAGTCTTTTTTTTGGACAAGTACTTTTACTCTACACACTTTTTTTTTAAAATTTTTTTATTAATGTATCTTGTAACTTTCCAAGTTACAGATATATAATGTTTATATGTAATGTTTTACATTTCAATGTATATAGCCTAATGTTTCCAGAAATGCCCCACATGTTGTCTGCATGTTCATACAGAAATGGTATGAACTGCTTTGAATTTCATTCCAATATTAATTCTACTTTGTTGAATTCAAATGTGAATGAGAATTCTATATCTTCTTAGCCAACCCAATTCAAACTTAGGAACACAACTCTCATTATACGTAAGATCTGCATTGTAAGTAAGGGATATTGTACATCCAGTTTGGTTGTTATTGCAGAATCAACCTGAATGGTGATCAGAACCCGGCGCGACTGATTTAAAGGGGTCCTATTATGCTTTCTTCACTTTTTGAATTTTAGTCAGTGTGTATGTTTGGGCATAAAAAAGATCTTCAAACTTACAAATCTCAAAGTCCACTCCAAAGGGAGATATTTCTTTCTTTTTTTAACATGGTGGCTAAGTTTATGCAACTGGCCCCAGATATGCACAACAATTGGATTTGGACTGACTTAAAGGCTTAAATGTCTCCAGGAGCAGGATTGGACACCGCTAATTTATTTGATCAAAATACAGTAAAAACAATCATATTGTAAAATATTATAACAGTTTAAAATAACTTTTCTATTTTCATTAATCATTCTAAAATGCTAATTTTCTACTCAAAACATTTCTTATTATCAGTTTTATAAACAGTGTGGAAATCATGATACATTCTTTGAATAGAATAGAAAGTTCAGAAGAACAGTATTTATTTGAAATAATAATCTTTTGTAACATTATAAAACTTTTTCCTTGCACTTGGTCAATTTAATGCGCCCTTGCTGAATAAAAATATTTATTTATATATATATAAAAAAAAAAAAAAACGTGCCGACCTGTTTGTATGTGCATTTTGTGCTATTCTGCCATTATTTATTTATGGCATTGTTTACATAAAATGTATGAAATGTTTGAAAATGTTTAATTATTATTGACACCATTTGAACGTTAACATGTTATTTAAAGGGGTCATATGATGTTGCTAAAAAGAACATTATTTTGTGTATTTGGTGTAATGAAATGTGTTTA